TCAATTTTTCTTTGTCCAATATTTACACAATGCCTTTTTCTGTTTGAGTGGATATTATAAGAAATGTGTGTTTCCTTGAGTATTTTCCTCAGTCCTAGCAACCTCTAACGCATCTTAAGTTATGTTTTTAAAATGTATTTCTCACTGGTTCTTTGATAAGTGATTAAAAGTTTGGTACTATCTTAGCAATACATCCTAGAGATGCTGCAGAAAACGATGATGGAATCAATTGAACTCTCACTTAAGACTGATAACTGCTCACTTCCAGGTAAACATTTCTAAAGACAATAAATTCAACTTCACCAAAACCTGAATATCGTATTTTTAATATTTTTGACTTTTTTGTTTGCTTGTTTTAGAGTTTTCAGCAGAGCTTTCAATGGTGAAGGAAAATTATGACAAACTTGAAAATAGCCCAGTCGTCAGATGAAGAAATGTCACTAACTGAGGGAAAATCAAAAGGTCATATTTTGACTAGGAACTGATTCCACAATTTTACTAAGGAGATTCTCAATTTTTAATATCGTATTTGTTTTTTAAACATACAAATTTCAATACATATTTTAAGCAAATATGATTTCCATTCATGTTCCATGTTATGTTAAGATTTTTAAGTATCTTTTCTATAGTTTTTAATTTTTTCAAGCATATGTTTTGTTTTCAATTTTATATTTAAGTGTTTTGTTTTTTTTTTACTATTATTATTATTGTACCAACGACAGTTTCTTTTCAAAATGTGTCCTACATTTGTTCTACTTAAACACACTTAATGCAGTTCTGAAATCAGGAGCACACTTCCCTATCCACTTTAGAATTTGTTTGTACACATTACAATTGTTTTGACATGCACATCATTACCAAAGACATTATATTGTTGTGTTGATGCATTTTCTTTTTAATCTTGCAGCTTTTTGCAATTTTTTTTTTACTTTTGTCAGTAATCAGCAGAGATTTGTAGAGACTGTTTTCAAAAGTGTGTGAAAGAGTGAGGCGAGTCGCCTACTGTCAGTGGTAGCAGTGAAACTGTCCTTCAGTTTAAAGCAAATAAAAATGTATGTTCTCAGAAAACGTTTAGTTGAAACAAATAAAAGCATGTAACCACAGAGAAGATGCAGTGATGTGGTGGAGGACATGCAGAAGGTGTGACTGAAGAGAATCCCAAGAATAGAGTAAAATGAGGCAGATCTGCTGTGGCAACCCCTAAACACAAGCAGCTGAAAGAAGATGATAGTTTCACATGCATCTTCCTTTTCAACAATTGCTCTTTATTTATCTATGTTGTTGCAATACTCTTACCAAAGTCAGTAAGGTTTTAGAGTAAGTGTCCAAGTAGAACAGTTATAACAGTTTTGGCAAGTTTCTTTTAATATTTTTTACTCATTGGTCACAGAGTTGAGACACTCCACAATAATGGTCTTGAATTAAAAGTTTTTAAGGACAAATATTTGCTTATTTTACGATGATGGTTCATATCAATGACCACATGAGAAATGTTGCAAAATAGAAGAAACTATTAAACTAAGACGAAAATGACATCATTCAGTTATTTGCAACATTTTTTTATTTGTTTTATTTAGTTCAATCTGCTCTAAACCTAAAGGTGTGCATGTATTTGATATTGTATACTGTTCAATAAAACATTAGTAAAGGTGCAAATTGTGAGAGGGTAACTTTTGTTGCCAACCTTCTTCTTGTGTTATTCTTCCAGAAAAGGTTACTTTTACATGAAGAAATTTTTTTTAAATCAAAATATACCACAACTTCACTTCAGAAATAAGGGCCGAGAGATTTCAAAACAGAACTGATCCAGGCCTTTTAGTGTTTTAGGTGTGGACTGTTCTCCCTGCTTTGTTTGATTCTTGTGCTTGTTTTCATGTCTGAAGAGGAGGACAGAAGCAGAGGTTAATCATGCGTACGAGAAACAATTTGCTTAATGCAAATTTTCCTGTACCTTTGGGAAGTTTTGCATTAAGTAAATTTGTGTATGAGAACAAAATGTAAATGGAAAAGTGGCAGGATTTGATCTTTAGTTCAGTTTCATTTTCTTTTTATCACAAACTGAAAGGCAGTCTTGTTGTCATTTCATTAAGAACATGACACTTTTTTTGCCCCCAGCAGACTTTCTTATCTATGGCGTTATTTTTGTGCCACTATTCTGAGCGTAGTAAAAAAATTTTGCAGGCGCAAGAGTTGCATTTTGAGGAGAAATTTATTTTGAGCAAAGAAAAGCTAAATTTGTGTGAACAAAATTCACTGTTGCGTGCAAAAAATGTATTTCAGTGTTTGCTATTATCCATATACACACACAAGAGCAGCCCCTCTCGCTCAGTTTTTGTATTTGTGCTTGCTCGCAATGTGTTGCTTGCCTTCTCAACATTTCTGCCCGTGTGCATTCATCTCTTTCTGTACACCATTATATTTCTGCCACAAAACCAGCCAATCTCAAACTTGGATGCAAAAAAATCTGATTGGCTGTTTTGGTCTCCAGTCAGCTCGAAATGATGAGATGCAATATCCCACAATGCACTTCCTCCAAAACTCAAATGAGGCAGTGGCGGAGGAATGCAGAGTGGCGGAGTTTGAAATATTACTCTTTCTGGATCACAAAATAAAATTTTAAGATATTTTCAGGCAAGAATGGTGCTGTGTAAACTTCAAATATCTGCTCGATTTATCAAGACATCACATATTTGCAAAAATGTTCTTTCAGACCATCTCTGAATCGAGGAGGGGGCCTAAGGGTACATCTTTCACCATCTTACAATGCTGTGTTGCAACCATTCCCCAACTCCAACTAATAAATTAAACAACTGTTAAAGCCAGAGATGACTTTTGATGATTATACTGCTGTAATAAAATCTGTTTCTTGGCAATAATTTTTATAAGCTGTCTTGACAATTTATCAATTATTAAAGCTCACTGGTGGTTTCATTGTTTATTTTGCTTCCTGTTGGAGTCACACATCTGGATTTCCCAGCACATTGTGATGTAGTTTTTATATTATTTTGTTTTCTTGCTTCCTAATCTGTACTGATTCTAAAATAATGCAGGTAGTTGATATTGTATACTGTTCAATAAATCTTGAGTGAAAGCAAATATTTATTTTAGTCATAAGATGGAAACTTATTTATTATAACCTAGATCTTTTAACCCTAAAAACCATCAAAAATTGCATTGCAGGACCAACATACAGTGGTGTTAGGACGTGTTTGCTCTCTTCCTAATTTCCTATTTTTGTGTTTGTCACACTTCAGTGTTTCAGATCAGCAAACATACAAGAAAGAAAACATATTATGTAGGGGGCAAATACTTTTTCACATCAC